ATGATTGCTTACTATTGTCACGTGAATGCGTATGTCTGAGCTCCGGACTTAACAACGGCCGTTGCCGTTTCCCTAGTAATATAATGTTTATCTATTATTCGATATAAAAGTGGGAGATTTATCTTTATAAAACAGTCCGAATTTTCAAAATAATTAATATTATCATTTTATATTATTGAACTGATATAGATAAAAGGTTATTGGCGTAATCCACTTGCTTTTGTTTACCGCGTAAATACATTTTTACGAAATAAGTCGAAGGATGATGAAAAATAAGAAGGTTATCCAATGTTTCATTTTCTATTTACAGAAACAATGAATTTTATTTATTTCTAAATGAAAAAGTCTAAAATATTAAACGATAATTTAAACTTTACAATTAAATATGGACCTTGGCAATTTTTGTGTAACTCTGAATCCAATTTTTTTAAGTGAATTTTTTATCTCGTTTTGTACCATTTTCTAGGTTGATATGAATAAAATGATTGAGTGTTAGCTTTTCATTTCCGGCTTCTTATCAGTAATTTTATTTCGTAAACATGTGGAATCAATGCTTTTTCTTACTGACGAGAACGTTGCGCAAGTTTCTGTAGCACAACGATTGAAAATTCAATTATGCCGTCGTATACAACGTGTTATTTAAAAAAAATGAAAGTCTCCAAAAAGGCTTAACAAATTATATAACTCACATGTTGCACGTAATATACTTTGTTTCATTAATATAAACAATAGAGGATGAACTTCATAAAGAGGACATCAAACATTTTGTGACCAACATCTCCTTTGGTATATTTATTATTTTCTAATCAAATCAGTTTGTATCTGCGAGTATTTAATTACGATAAAAGGGCGAGAATAATTAATTACTCGTTGTTTGTAAAAACATTATCATTTATGTCTGTAACAGAAATGGATTATGTAAAATTTCGGTGGATTAAAGGAGTAGAGCGGAATTTTGTATTAAATGATTAAATGAGAATATAATTGCCAAACATGACGCGCTGGTGATTATTTTGGGAAGTAACACAACCGCGTGGCTGAACTTCAAGTATTTACTGATACGGGAAAATAGGTGAAATTAACTCCAGCCGAAATTCAATTTTCGCCTGAATTGAGATTTTTATGATTGAAAAATAGAAATTCAATTTTCGCCTGAATTAAGATTTTATGATTGCAAAATATTTTCCAACTTCGATAAAATTTATAGTACTGGAATAAGTTAATTTTAACCGGTTAATTAACCGGTTAAGGCTGTTCCAAACTCAAATATAATTTAACGAATTCTTTTATACATCATGCAATTAATTGCAATCGATTAAATATTTCGGTGCAGTATCAACTGTCTAAAGGAATAGAATTGAAAATATGCAGATGCAATCAAATTGTAGCCGTATCTTTGGCATTGGCACTGGCATTAGTGCTGGCATTAGCGCTGGCACTGGCTTTGGCATTGGCATTGGTGGTGACATTGGCATTAGGGCTGGCATTGCTGTTGTTGCTGTTGTTGTTGTGGCTGTAGTTTCCCCATGTTTGCCATAATAGCCTGTAACCCTTCATTTAATTTACGGTTGATAGTTTCTTCAATATCTGGTTATTATGTAATATATGTAGATTGCATCGCAAATATTTGCTTGGGCTGGTAATTTTATTATTTTTTTTTGCCATCACGTGTATAAAAAGTAAAATAAAAAAATTTTTTTTCTTATAACATTGATGATTTCTAAAGTGCTTATAACCAATTCCTTGATACCGAGTTTAGCAAGTTCCTATCCAATTCTCATTATCGCCGAGGAACCATGTCGTAACGTGATCATCATACTCCATTCACGTGACATACAATTTTACTCCTTATTCCACGAATCAGGAATCTTTTTGAATTTTGACATCCCCTCCAAAACTAAATATTGTCAGAGATTTTGAAACTTTTTCGTAATACTAGAGCCAAGAACACAGTACCAAATATGGACATTGTTGTTAATGAAGCAGACGAAAAGGAAAAGAAATGGTGGTTAGGAAAAGGTTCTTTAGGTTCTCTGGGCATTGATGAGGAAAGGTAAAATTATTAGTAGTCACATTTTATTTATTTATTTACTAAAAAATTATTTATCTCGTTAGATTACCTCTAATATTGGCGAGAGGTATAAAATTTAATCAGTTTGCAAAAAGAGCTGAGAAGATTAAGGCCAGAAGGTTCTTGGACTATCGTGATGGTACTGTAACCATTATTGAATTACCAACTTGAGTGCACGAAGTTGCAGGCCGTGAATTTAGCTATATGTTTTTGTACGCAATCCGTAATGCAACAAATCAAAATAGTGTTTTCAATTGGGGATCGATAAGTAGGTTCTTCAAATTTTTAGTTTGGCACATATTCAGCTTTGTGTTAAAACTAATTCTATTTCATCTAGGTTTATATACTAATCTCTCAACAAATAAATATGAAGAGCCAGACGCATGTTTTATACCTATACGTCTGCTGGAAGCATCGAACGCAGTATTAAATCCTTGTGATCGAAATGTCTGTATTATCAATTTGTTTAGATATGAAAAATATGGGTTTCATTGTGAATTTGTGATTTTTAGGGAAGCCCATGGCCAACTATCATCCTTGAGGTTGCTTCCTCAGAAACTCTCCAACATGCAAGAGATAAGATCAATGACAATTGGCTAGTCCATGATCGCTGTGAAGATGTGATTGTTATCAAAATAGGTAATTGGGAAGGAAGACGTAGTAATAAAACGACCCAACGCCCTTTGCGTCGATTGCGGGTTAGTTTAATGATAATTTTTTATACCTTTCTTTGTTTTTCATTTGTTTAATCTGTTCTTTATATTCTTGGCAGTGCCTAAAATTCTGTCGGACTGCAACTCTTCAGCAAAATCCAAACGCTACAACATTCGAAGCAATTGAAGAGGTAGGATTAGTGTGTTTTATAATTTTTCTTTTTTTGCTTATTTGGCTCAGTGTTTCTTGTCACTTCCAGATTGAGTTTGGGTCCACGTATGCTAATGGCGGTGAAAGTTATTTTTGCACTGGACCTCATATGAAATGGCTTACAATTAATTGTAATTGTATTTATGCTGGTTGTCCTCAACCTCCTCCTCTTCCTTCATTTCACACATTTATCTCTTCGCGACCTTTCAGTTCCCCTCGATTTCCCTACCCTCTACAAGCACCGGGAGTTGCAATGGACTTATATGATCTTCAACAAGCGATTTTTTCAGCTATGGGTCATAATTGAAGACGCTAAACCATTACATCTAAATCAATTCAGATGATTGCGAATTTTATTACAATTAGCTATCCTTTATTTACTTAAATTCTTAACTTATTACAACTTTTGCTAAATATTTGCTTATTTTTAATTCCAATTAATAAAATTATATTTGCTATCATGATTTTAGTCTTCGCATTATTAAAGAAGTATTCATATATTATTATGATTCGTTTCGTTTATTTCCATCTTCCACATAGTATTTCAAAATTTTCGGAAAATAATTACCAGTAAGTGGTGGGGTAAAGATTTATTAGCATCATCATTAACTAACAAACGTCCGTAAATATTTAAACTATACGCAGTAATTAAAAATGAATTAATCAAAAAACGCTCTTTCCTAAATCATTTCCTGAACTCGAAAATTTTTTTTGATCAAAGGAGCGATTATAGAATTTAATTTCTTAAAATATCAATTTTCGTCACTTTTTAAATATTTCGTATCGGTATCGTTTTAAGTTTATTAAATATAAAAAATGATCTATGGTTATTCTTTATTCTGTAATACAAAATTTTAGATGAAGATCAGATGATAAAATTCCGGCAAAAACAGGAATTTTTAAAAAATCGCCGGTAAAAAGTTATATTTTTGTCCGGCAAAATTTTAATATATTTTCACTACAAAGACATTAATAATAATATTACAAATAATATCTATTAAAGTTCATTTATCCAATTTTCGAA